TAGCTGGCCCTGGCTGAGTTCGAACCCACCAGCCTTGGTGCATGAGGCTGGCACCATAACCACTATGCTATAGGAACAGAGCCATCCCCTTTTGAGCTCTATTTTGTACAATATAATATTTTTATAATAAAACTTTTATTTTAGTATGCAGACATCTTTTTCAAAATCTTTTGTTTCAATGACAATTTTCTGGTTATTCTTTAATTTAGCAGGGGCTCTCTCAAATTCCAGGTAATTGCTGTTAATCTGTTCTGTGAAATCCAGGAACAAGAATATGAACCATATAAAAGAAATAAAGGGCAGCGTACCATGGCTCATGCCTGTAATCTTACCACTCTGAGAGGCTTGAGGCAGGTGTATTGCCTGAGCTCATGGATTCCAGATCAGCCTGAGCAAGAGCAAGAACCCATCTCTAAAAATAGCCATAGCTCAGTGGCTAGGGTGCCAGCCACATACACTGAGGCTGGTGGGTTCAAATCTAGCCCAGGCCTGCCAAACAATAATGACAACTATAGCCAAAAAATAGCTGGGCATTGTGGTGGGCTCCTGTAGTCCCAGCTACTTGGGAGGCTAAGGCAAGAGAATCACTTAAGCTCAAAAGTTTGAGGTTACTGTGAGCTGTGACTCCATAGCACTCTACCCAAGGTGACATAGTGAGATTCTGTCTCAAAAAAAAAAAAAAAAATAGGTGGGCATTGTGGCAGGCACCTCTAGTCCCAGCTATTTGGGAGGCTGAGTCAAGAGAATCACTTGAGACCAGCAGTTTGAGGTTGCTGTGAGCTGTGATGCTACAGCACTCTACTGAGGGTGACAAAGTGAGACTCTGTCTCAAAAAGAATAAATAAAAATAAAACTAGAAAAGAAATAGAAGCTGTATCTCTTGTTTTTATGCTTACGGACCTGGTTGGGCCAAACCACTGCAGACCCATTGTCCTAGTTCTGGGTATCAATTTTCACTTCTGTGAAAGGGGATAATAAAATTAAATATGTACATTGGAGATAAAAACAAAAATATATGCAGGGCATGGTGGCTCACACTTGTAATCCTAGCACTCTGGGAGGCCGAGGTGTAGCAACCCGTATAGCTTATGGCTAGGAGGAGTCAGAGTTATAAGAAATACCTATAATGGAACACCTTGGTGGAAAGGGCGTGGAGAGAGATTTAGCTCTCCTAACAAGCATGAGAGCTCTCGAGATGAGAGCATTGGTGAATTGGTAGTCTCTACACCTGTGGTATTGAGAGGCACGAGATCAGCTTTATATTAGGCTGGAAGAGAAGGCAGTCGGGAGCATGCACATTCTATCACAGACACATTGACTCTGACTCTGTCTTCTCTTCTGCCTGCAGAACGGCAGCACGGCGTCTCTCTGCCAAAGATTACCAAGCTCTGCTAAAGACTAAGATCTATCTATTCTAAGAAGACTGCTTTACTCTACCTAAGATTCTCTCTCTCCAGCTAAAGTAGATAGCCCTCAGGCAACTAAGAGAAACTGTTCCTGAGCAAGGTAGCTTAGCAGTCCGTGAACCTACCTAAGCCAGGCCTGAGATCTGGCCCAATCCGGGCCCCGACAAGTGGTGCCAGAAGCAGATCCTGAGGAGAGGCAGGTGGATTGCCCTGAGCTCACAGGTTCCAGACCATCCTGTGCCAGAGTGAGACCCTGTCACTAAAAATAGCTGGCATTGTGGTGAGCACCTGTAGTCCCAGCTACTTGGTAGGCTGAGACAAGGGGATCGCTTGAACCCAAGAGTTTGAAGTTGCTATCAGCTATGATGCCACGGCCCTCTATCAAGGGTGACAAAGTGAAACTCTGTCTTTAAAAAAAAATATGGGTGCTGCCTGTGGCTCAGTGAGTAGGGCGCCGGCCCCATATACCGAGGGTGGCGGGTTCAAACCCAGCCCTGGCCAAACTGCAAGAAAAAAATAGCAGGGCATGGCGGGTGCTTGTAGTCCTAGTTACTCAGGAGGCTGAGGCAAGAGAATCACCTAAGCCCGGGAGTTGGAGTTGCTGTGAGCTGTGACGCCAAGGTGATAAAGTATTACTCTGTCTCTAAAAAAATGAAAATATACATAATGTACTTGGGAGAAATATATTCCAATAAGAAGTTGAAGCTGACAAATAGGCATGCTAACTGTTGTACTGTTTTGTTGTTGTTTTTGGCCGGGGCTGGGTTTGAACCCACCACCTCTGGCATATGGGACAAATGCCCTACTCCTCTGAGACACAGGCGCCACCCTGTTGTACTGTTTTTTAACAAAATAAATGAGGTGGGACTTTTTGTTTGATTGGTTTTGCTAAATTTTTATTCCCAAAGTGTGGTAATGTTATGATTATTTATATATGTTTAATATATATTGTATTTTAATATAAATTAAAATAAAATGATTGGCATATATAAATGATTACTTATATATGAATGAAACCCTTAAGCATTACATAAGTACTCCCAAGGATAGCTTTTGTGAAACAAGAAAAGCAACTTCACCAGCTTCATTCTATTTCATTATTCAATATGGTAGCCATCAGCTTGGCCCCTGTAGGCCAGTCATTAGGGTGCCAACCACATACACCAGGGCTGGTAGGTTCGAACCTGGCCCAGGCCTGCTAAACAACAATGACAACTGCAACAAAAAATAGCCAGGTATTGTGGCGGGTGCCTGTAGTCCCAGATATTTGGGAGGCTGAGGCAAGAGAATCACTTAAGCCCAAGAGTTTGAGG